GCACTCGAGCACCGCTCTCAAATGGACGATGTGGTTCTCCTCATCTGTCCTCCCGTGCCCGCACGTCTGTGGACGAAACGTCGCCGAAGTATATCTGTGCATACGCCCGATGGGTTTAAACAATTGCGTCACAAGACAATTAAATGTTGCTGGTGCGTTTGCCGGCTTTTGGGGTATCATCAGCCATACCCAGAGCATCCCGCTCGGAGTACTCATCGCTGTCAGCGGATTATATAAGCAACTGGTAATATCTTTTGACCAAGTCGAGTGCGCTGTACTTTGTACAGTCAACCACATTGTTCTGAAGAATATTCGTCTTAGCGATTGGCGTTTGTGCCGAAATGATGGCAGCGATCAGCTTATTACGTGAACGATATGCCACTTGCCGGTTGGCTCCCGCTCACAGAACGTGGGTGTCGAATGGAGGACCTTCCCTCAGGCACCATTCCTGCGACGTTCTTCGCACGGAAAAAGGCGTCAATGAAGTGACACCGCTCCTTGGGCAGGGGTCATTGGCGTGTTACGCAGTATTTGGTTCCCGGAACAGGTCAATCTCATGACGCACATCTCGGTCCGGAGGTAGCACCGACGGCGGGTCTTTAGAGACGGCGTCTCGGCATTCCTTTTCCAAAAATAATACGGATTCGATGATCCACTTTGTGCGTTCAGTACCCTCATAGCGTCCTCCAGAACAGCTTCATCCAGAAGCGACGACGAGTTAATCTCCTCGTTCGGTCTGATAATAACCACTTTGGCTTAATCGCCTGCATTCAAGGTACCGCTTAACCTTTCGAAGGACATCTCGTCCAGCTCAGGAAGAGCATTCACCGCAGTGATATCCACATTGTCCGAAATAGGTGAGATTAGCGTGTCTAGTTTAAGTTGACGTCGTGTGAGCTTCCTGCGGAAATGGTTCTGCCAGGTAAAGAGCACACAGTCCCAATAAAGTCCAAGCCGTGTTTAACAATTGGACCGGTGCGAGCTCGCGTTTGACTTAGTTGAGAATCTGAATAATACGTCGCTGCTGAATTATGTCAAAATGTGTAAATTTAAATATAGTAAGGTGTTGTTAAGGAATCAACTAATCAGATGGAGCGCCAAATTCTGATACTACCCCCGTTAAGTGATAATTTAATTATTGTGACCCCTTATGGAATCTCGAAGCAGCGGTTCTCATTTTGCGCGGGCATCTCTACCAGGCTTTGTGTCGACGTCCGTTTTGACATCATCTGATGGGGTCTGTAGAGATGATCTAGCCTTATTAAATTATGTCGCTATTAATGCTGAAATAATACCATTGCTTGCAGCTTTTCGGTGACAATGTCGAAGAGAAGCGCGTGACAGAGGCTCCACCTGCGCGACCTGAGGATACTGTAAATTACAAGCCACTATACGAACAGCTTCTGGAACGCAAGGAAACCAAAGATATTGAATGGAAGGAGAAAAATAATCCCTTTGGTATGTTGTCAGTGATTACTCACTCCATAACAATCATGAATGCGATCATGTCGCCATTTGTCGTTTCTCTTATTCGTCAAATTGATCCTTTACTGTCACACAGCTCCTCCGAAGGGTCTGGACGATGAAGAGTTCGAATACATTCAGGATCTTGATAGGAAAAAGGTGGATGTTGAGCGAAAGCGTCAAGCGCAGCATGATGAGGATCTCGCTAAATTTTGTAAGAAGTAACTGAAGGCTCCGTTACCAAATCGATCTGACGGCCTAATCATCAAATTTTGACATAGTAATGGCACGTGGTGCTCCCAAACCGGCATCTAGTGTGGTGCTTACGGCGCAGCAGCTCCAAAAGTATCCAAGTGGGCAAGACTCAAGGACAATTGGCAAAAATGCGACTGCTATTCGAGTAGCTAAGGCAAAGCGAAAGGTTGATGCTGGTACTTCACGGTCCGCTGAAGAAATTACAAAATGTCTGAAGAAAAAGCAGAAGGTGGTCAAATTACTTCCTTGTGAGAAGCAAACCTCGAGTACCGCAGCACTGGGACTCGGAGCATATGACAGTGATAGTGACGAAGTTGACACGAACTAGACGATACAGATTAAGTGCCTATTAGTACAGTGTATTTTTACTTAGTTAAAAAGAGCTGGAGCTCTCCTACTGGACCGAGTTGAATTTGGCTGAAGAAGATGTGGTTTAGATCCAATCCCTTTTGGCTTTCGGAGCGGAGGAGACGCATCGACTAATACCCTTTTCAGCGCCCGTACTGCCATTCGCTTTGGTCTATCGGGTGTTCGCATGACAATCAATGAAGTGGCTTTCGCTCGGTACATCGGCTGTGGCTGAGTCTTTTCTGCTATCGAATCTCGTGCAGGAGATTTTGTCGAGGAGATAATTGCAGATTGCTGCAAAGCGCGCTCTGGCATGGCTTTCACTAATAGTGGATTCGAAGGCTTTTTTACACGGGATCTAGCAGCAGTATGCTGCAGAATTGACTCACGCAACTTTTGACCAGTTTTTGTTGATTTTGTAAAGTCTCGGTTCTTGAACTTCTGCATCAATTTTGAGCCTGCAATCGAATGCATCTCATGATTCAACGTCATACGAGTACTATAACCAGTACTCTTGTTTTCGTCTGTGCTGCTACTTCTGGTCGAGCTACTGTCTTGATTTTTGGAAACTCGCTTCAAAGTTTGAGCTGATTGCATCTGTTTCTGCTGCATACGACTAGGCAACTGGAATTCTTTAAAAAGCCCACTAACCTCTGAGCGAGCACGCTTTGCAGTTCGTTCTTGGAGCAGTGCAGCAACTATGTTTTGTTTAGCGGGTTCGACACCTTTTAATTGGTCGGTAAAGACCTGAAGTGGCTTAACGGCCATCTGCAACTCCACAATACAAGACTGAGTTAGTAAATTCTACGAGCTAAAAATCACAAGCAATGGGGGGTTACAGTACCGTGGATCGTGTACTCAGTGCATCGTTGTCATCACCATCCTTTAGCATATTATCTTCAAGCTCGTATGTTGTCAGTAAATAGCGCATGAGCTCGGGCACTAATAATCGAAACCTCGAAGCTAATTCTTGCTGCAAAAACTTCTGGAAAGGTGAGCGTTCATCGCCATCTTCGACAGCCAACGACGGCGGATTTGCAGCATCTAATAGTAGCGCCACACGGTCCATCAGACCCCGAATCTCATTTTTCAGACGCTTTTTTTCTTTTCTCCTCTTGTTTAATGCTCCGTAGCACAATACTCGACACACAAGCTGAAGCTGCAAAACCCGCACTTTGGAGACACGCGGCGCTTTGGAATTCCCGGACGCATTCAGTTCTGGCATTTGAATCAGAAGTCGAGTAGCCACCGATGCCAAACGATTTTTCATCATTTGAAACTGATCTACGTTCTTGTCACTCATAGTCGTTGCATTCGGATCGCCGCCATTCTTCTTCGGCGTTTGGTTGGCTGGATCAAGCTGTTTCATCCAGCACTCGCCACCTTCGTGGGTCAAAAGTAAGTCGAGAAATTCTAGCACCTTGTCAGTCGGTACCTTTCTAGTCTGCTGTGTAACTAGAATTGGTTCACTTTCCTTGTCATACTCCTCCAGTTCCACCGCATTCATGTACCTGCTGTGCCAATCCATCGAGCTAAGCAACTGTTCACAACCAAAAATGTATACAAGTATAGTATATACACATGCGCGGGAAACGCTTATATTCCTTTTTGTTATAATCTCAAATGGTTGAAGAGGATGACTACTCAGCCTCTGTCGAGACGGTGGAGGAGGTGCAAGCAGAGGTGGCATTGCAAATTCGAAATGGAAAACATCTCAAGAAAGTGGGAGTAGCGGTACGGCGTCCTCGCATACGAGCATCGTGCGTCAAAGGCGGGGCGAATGAGGACACGAAGCAGTGGGAGCTGCTGCTCTTTTCCTTTTCTGACTCAGAAGAGCTGGGCAATCTCGAGTCACTTTTACTACGACTGGCTCCTTCAAAGTGCTATTTATCGTCTGAGATGGAACAGTCTCACGACGTAGGTGATAGCAAGAAATTGCACGCGTTGTTACAGACTCACGAGGTGGCAGTCGTCTACATGAAGAAGCAGCTTTTTAACGACGTAAGTGGTATTGAAACTAATGTATCCAGGCTGTTGGGAGTGAGTACGATGGTTGAGTATCAACGTATCCTGGCTTCGAATATTGTGGCAGGATCGTTGGCTTGTTTAATCGAGGCATTGGGCGTCATGACAGACACCGACGCCTTTGGCTGCTACACGCTAGAAGAGGGCAATCTTTCCTCTGCAATGCAACTAGATAGTACCGCGGTATGGTCGCTGAATCTGTTGCCAGAGCTAAACTCCCCAGCAATTCATGTACGGGCATTTGGGGGTAGTGTGTTGGAGATTTTGAACCGAGGCAAGACCCCCATGGGTCGACGCCTACTGGAGCGCTGGATTCGACAGCCATTGGTAGATGTCGAGCATATTGAGAATCGACAGAGCCTCGTGCAACTCTTTGTCGACAACTCGTCGTTAAGAATGGAATTGCTGGACGAGTGCATGAAAGCGTTGCCAGATCTTGGACGACTGGCAATGACCTTTGAAAAAAAGAAGCATGCCAAGATTACCGACCTTGTCAGTGTGTATGATGCAGCAGTCGGTGCAATGCCACGTGTGCTTAAGCTCATGAAGACTACAAGAGCAGGTGGAGATTCGACACTAATTAATCTTGTAAGCGAAAAATTTACTGATCCGCTGGAAAAAGTGTTGGCGGATCTACAAGGTTTTACCGCACTCGTTCAAGAAGTTGTTGACCTTGATAGTCGGCCAACGCTTGTCGTGAACGCTAAGCACGACAACCATCTTCAGGCGCTGCGTGACGAATGGGACGGCATCCTTGCAGATATTGACGAAGAGCATCGTAATTCACTTGATACCATTGGTGGTGATATCAAGTGTGAGAAGGACAAAGTGCGCGGGTTTGTTTTTCGCGTCATAAACAAGAAAGAGGAGGCGCGGCTCTCCAAGCTACCCTATGTGCACATTTGTCAGGTTCTCGTTAGCGGCGTTCAATTTACGACAACAAAGTTGAAAGCACTTGCCACAGAATATCGTCGTGTGCGCGGGGAATACGAGGAACGACAGGCTCACTTACTTAGTGCAGCGGTAGACGTGGCCAGTACATATGTCCCTGTACTAGAAGCTGCGACAGCGACTCTGGCCGAATTGGATGTGCTTCTTGGTTTCGCTCACGCTGCATGCCATGCTGGTTCAGGCTATTGCCGCCCTCAACTTGAAGAAAACGGTGATTGCATTGTGTTGACCGGTTCACGTCACCCTTGTATGGAACTACAAGACGGTGTAGATTTCATACCAAATGATTACAACTTTGAGCGGGAATCATCGCGATTTCAACTCGTGACTGGGCCAAATATGGGTGGTAAAAGTACCTACATCCGTCAGTTAGGTACAATTGCAGTGATGGCTCAAATTGGAAGCTTTGTTCCGGCTGAAGTCGCTCGATTGCCTGTGTTTGACAAGCTGTTGGTTCGTGTTGGTGCTGGTGACCATCAACAGCGAGGTGTATCAACATTCATGCTTGAAATGCTAGAAGCTTCAGCTATTTTACAAAAAGCCACGAAAAACTCTTTGATTATTATTGATGAGCTTGGTCGGGGCACCTCTACGTACGATGGATTTGGAATTGCCTGGGCTATTTCTGAGTACATTATCACAAAAGCATGCTCGATGTGTCTTTTTGCCACACACTTTCATGAGCTGACAGCTTTGCAAAAAGAGTATCCTCGTGGCTTTATCAATAAGCATGTTACTGCAGTTGTTGGCGACCGAGAGATTACAATGGTATACCAGGTGCGGAACGGCCCGTGCATGGAAAGTTTTGGTGTACACGTGGCTGCAATGGCAGGTTTTCCTCAGTCGGTAATCGAGTGCGCTAAGCAGAAGAGTCACGAGCTAGAATGCTTTGAATGGGCTGTTAGCAGTCAGGAGATAAACAGTGCTAAACGATCTTCTACGGACGCCTCGCTTGCTGAGAGCAAATCCCATTTGAAAAAACGTGTGACGAGCAAGGAATTTTTGAATGCTTTCGCAGCTCTTCCTCTTGATGAAATGACGTCTGCAGAAGCCCTTTGCGCTGTTCGCAAGCTTGTCTCGTAAAAGTTCGTTTATATCACAGACAACCCCTCATATTCAGCCATAGTTCCACCATGACCTGAATTCGTAATATTAGCTTGTGACACGATACTCAGCCTATGCCCTGCAACATACCATTGAATCATCACCACTTTGACTATATCCAGTCCAAGTGCCAAGAAAGCCGACTTCTTAAAGTATCTGTTTGATTTCTCAAAGATATGCAAACGGAAAAAAGTCCAAACATCACCCACACCATTAACGCTCTTTATTTAATGCTGAAGTCGGAAGGTGCTACCTACTTCGTCTCTATCAGCAATTAGTGCGTTTAAGCGACTAGTCACTAAAATCGATGAAAGCAGAGCTTAACCTCACTCATCACTTTCCAAGTCATGTTAATTCTTGGTTGTATATGGGTCCTCATTGTCCAATTTAAACTCGCCGAGCTCGCTCTCTGTACTACTCTGAGTGTCAGTATTGTCACCATTATGACGTGCCAGCTTGTTATTCTGCTTCTGAATACTTCCAAATATGGAAAGAGCTGACGCCACCATGCTAGAAGGATCGTTCGTGTTGGCAGGTAGAAGCACAGTTGTGCCCTCTTTGGCAATTTTGCCGAAGGCGTCGACATACTTCTCCGCCACCTGTAGTGCCACGGCATCATGTCCACCATTATCCCGGATAGCAATTGAGAGCCTCTGGATAGCCTGAGCTGACGCATTCGCCTTGGCCATGATAGCAGCAGCAGCGCCTTCGGCTTCTAGTACAGCAGCGCGTTTCTTTCCTTCAGCCACATTAATATATGCCTGACGTTCACCTTCCGAGTCTAGAATCTCAGCGCGCTTTCGACGCTCGGCTTCAGCCTGCATGTCCATAGCCGCCTTTACACTTCGTGGTGGAGCGATGTCCCTTATCTCGTACCTCAAACACTTAATGCCCCAAGCTGCCGAGGCCTGGTTAATTGACTCAACGATACTCAGGTTGAGCGATTCACGCTCCTCGAAGGTTTTGTCCAAAGTAATTTTTCCTAACTCAGAGCGCATAGTGGTTTGCGCTAGCTGCGTAACAGCGTAAAGCGGATCCTCGACGCCGTAACTGGCATTGTACGGGTCGACGATCTTAACGTATAAAACGCCATCAATACTTATGGTTACGTTGTCGCGCGTGATAGCCGTCTGACCTGGAATTTTTATGGCCTCTTCCTTCAAAGAGTGCACATACGCAATACGGTCTACCATCGGGATCAAAAAATGTAACCCAGGGGTTAAAACATCGTGAAACTTGCCGAAGCGCTCCACGACCCATGCACGTTGCTGCGGCACGATTAAAACGCCCTGTACCACCATTTTAATAAGCTTTGAATAACTACCGCTTACTCTGACAAAAAAGACGTACGATATTGACCGGTGTGTCCTGCAGGCGGGGCATGCCATTGTCATCGAATGACTGGCTCAACGCGGGGCGCGAGCTGTGCAGCCTACGTACTGAATCTAGATATAGAAGTGGACTTCCTATATGTGCTGCGACAGCTCTATTAATCTGTCGACGTGAGTGGTGGGTAGCACCCAGAAGCTTTGCAGCAAGCATCGCGAACCGGCCTATTCTTCCAATACGATTAAGTATTCACCCTACAAAATATGTCGTCATCGGTTAAATTTCAACAAAAAGATAAGACCAAATTTGTGTATAATTTGATTGGCTGAAAGTTGGTCGGAATCAACTTCAGCCCATTTACCAACTTTCGCTCGACCATGAGTCGACGCGGCGACGCTGTAGAGGAAACAGCGGACAAGCATAGCCCGAGAGAGCGCAGCAACAGCAACAGCAGTAGTGCTGCTGGGTCTGATAATGCTTTAAGCGCTGTTCCACAGTTTTTGCCGCTTCACTCGAGGGTTGGTAAACGATACCAGGCCGTGATCCCCGACTTGTTGGCGTCCTCAGCCAATGCCGATGACCGTTTAGGCAAGAAACAGCCGTTGCAACTACCAAAGCCTAGGTTTTGTCGTGACAAAGCGCTCGGTGCGTGCTATAGAATTTAACTTGTAAGTTTATTGAGTTCATCCAAATTAAACATGATCTTCTACTGTTTTGCTATAGCGCTTGGACCAGAGCTAGACAAATATTTGAAAATGGCACGTTCGCTACGAGATGGAGCCACATTTGATACACAGGAACAGGTCACAACTCTGGCGCTGCAGCATTTGCACCGCTATGATTATAACACTACCGATGCAGCGTGTGCGCTGTATGCGAGACATAGTATCGAGCTGCCGACTTCGACTGTGCTCATAAATGAAGTCGCAACTAAGATGACAGGGGTGGAAGAAGCCAAAAAGTGGATTGGTGCTTTTTATCGGTGCATGAGATACACGAAGATCGACGAAAATGTCTTCAATCAAATGTGTGACTTGTACAAAAAGGCACAAACCAGTGCTGACGTAGCTTCAATGACTGAAGCGACTGTGTTGTCTCGACTTGTATCACGAATAAAATCGTGGAGAGAGCAGTGCAAAATAATCAGCAGTGAGAAGGTCGATTGTGCTCAGCTTCTGCAATTATTACAAGAGGCAGAAAATATGCAAATCGTCCTTACGGAGAAGCAAACTTTAGTGGTAAGGTTACATAGCTTTAATGCTGCTCGAACAAAGCTTAAGGAGGCGCTAGAATATAGTAGCAAACGTCATCAGAATAAAAAGGTGGAACTTAATGAGCTGGACACACTATTTGAGGCAGTAGTCGCCCCAAAGATTAATTTTCCCGAGGAAAGCAGCTTTCAAGAAACACTTGATGAAGCGAAAGAGTTAAAGTCTACAATCGACCAGATGTTAAGCGAGGACAAGGTCAGCTTGTCATTGATTCGTGATGTGCTGGCAAAGATTGAGCTAGTGCCGGTAAATTTTGAGCAAGAAGTGGCGCAATTTCAAAACAAAATGCAGATTGCGCAAACTTGGTTGGCAAAGGCGCGTAGATGCATTCCGAATCGACGACCAACCCGGCGAGGAGGTAGTGCAGACGCAAAGAAAATGGATTTGGAAGCTATCCGCGCGCTTGTGGTAGACGCACCTTATGAAAATAGTGCGGAGATATTTGAAATGCAAGACTTACTTGAGTGTGCGGATGCGTGGGCTGTCAAAGTGAAGAAAGCGATCGGTGGCGGAGCTGACGTGACGCTGACGCAGCTGAAGGAGCTCTTAGAGGAGGCGAAAGGTATTCCTGTGATATTGGATGAGCAAAGGTATTTGGAAGCTGAAATTGCTGCACGTGAATGGAGCACTGTTGCTGCGTCGAAGCTGGCTTCCCGTGCGTCAATCGAGGAAATTGAAGACTTGCTTGCTCAGGCGAAAGAAATTCGGGAGCAGATTCACCCTAAAAGACAGTCAAGGTGGAAACCGCAGGTGGAGCGCGATATTAATGCAGCCATGGACCAGTCACGTAAATGGATGAGTGAGCTTCGTGACAATCTTGGCTTCGTAGCATACGATAAACTATTCTCATCGCTGTCATCATATTTTTCTTCGACGCACACATCCAAATCGTCATCTTCAGCCACCAGTGCCGATAAAACGAAGAAAAAGTCGATGGACGCAATAAGTAAACTTATTGAGAAGTCACAAGCACTAGCGATCGATGTTTCATCGTACACCACGCCGTTAAACGACTTGTTATTGAAAGGAGTTGAAGCACAAGCTGAGGCGAGCGCTATTTTGATGAGTATTGGCTGTTTATCGGGAACGATAACAGCAGATGGAGATGACTCAAGTCATATGGATGTCGACTCAATGCCTAATGAATTGGGAGATCTGGCGCAGGCATCAGCTTTACTTGAGAAGATAGATCTCTTTCCATTTACCTTTGAAGAAGGATTTAATCTTGCTAGAATCGTTGAGAAAGAGAAAGACTGGGCAGCGCGCGTTCGCGACTGTATTCCTCCACGGCAATCCAGAAAGAAGCGCCTTGCAAACGAGTCTTTTACGATGGAGCAGCTGCACGAGTTGATCAATGAGTCGAAAAGACTGCGCTTTTTATTTCGTGACGAGCTGCGAATTCTGTCCAAAGAGCTTCGTGATCTTGTGTCTTGGCGTGCAAAGGCGCACGACGTTATAAATGGTGAAGTGAGCATGTCTATGTCAAAAGTCATCGACCGTCTTCAAACGTTTGACCTTATGATTTATGGAAAGCTACAAATGGCAAAAAAAAAACTTCGTATCGGTATCGTAATTGATGCTGTTGCTGAGAAAGAAAATGAGCGAAAGGATGACGTTGATATGTCATCAGTGCCATCCGGTGTTGACTCTTCAGTGCCAAATCAAGAAGAGGTAGAGAAAAAAATTCTGGTAAAATCTGACTCAAAAACATCTTGCGAAAGTTTGGCCCGGGCGGAGGTCGGAGAGCCAATTCATGGCAAGCAAAAGGTCGTGACTCTGAAGAATGAGGGTGAATTGGCTGAAAATGGAGTTGAGGTTAAGACAGCAGCTCAAGGTACAGATGCCATCAACTTGAATGGCAGTACGACTATGAATATGCAAGCGCTAGAGATGCATACGGAAATGATTATGACACACATTAGAATTGAAAGTGGATGCATGCAGAAGTCAACTGCCAAGAAGGAGGAGAAAAATGGTGACGATGCGAATAATATATGGAAGGCAAAGCACGGTGAGAGCTTGCTTAAACCTGTTCTGGAAATGGCGGAAGAAAGCTTTGACTTAGTTGATAGTCTGGAGCTTAAAGAGGCTGAAACACGACAGACGATTGAGGACCTAGTTCTATCCGGAGAAAAAGGCGAAAATACAGAAAATATCACACATGAGTGCGTGCGAGCGCTAGAAGGATGGAAACATCAGCTTCTTCAATTGCAAACAGAGAGCGAAGTGCTCAGTGTCGAAGCCCCAGAACAAAAGGCTACTTCTTTAATCTTGTCGCTGTTAGAATGGCTGCAAGGATCTCGGTCATTTTTTTATGATGAAATTCTTCCCCTTCAAGATCTTGTCGTTAAAGGTGATACGATCTCTGAGTCTCTTAGAGAGATTAAGGAACTAAATGCGATCCAACCTGACACTTTGGCCATTCTTGAGCGAATGCTTTGGCCGCTACCGTATTTGAAAGCCCACGAGAAAGTGGTGCGGGAATGGACTGAGCGTGTCCACAAGTGTGTTGCCGACAAGCATGCCCATGTCAGTGAACTCCAGACATTGCTAGATAGTGGCAGTGGCCTTTTGCTGGAGCAAGGTGCGTTTAAAGTTGTAATTGATGAAGCAAAAAAGGCGAGAGGATGGCTATCTAAGCTGAGAAAGCGCTTGCGATCTTTACTAACGAAGGGAATCGGTAGAATGAGCATTAGCGCTGCCCGCTCGCTGGTGGAAGAAGGCGAGGACATTGCCATTGATATTCCAGTCTTTGACCTATTGAAAGAGCATTTGGAGATCGCGAGTGACTGGGAGAACCGTGTCCTGGCATCTGGTATTGAATCAGGACAAGCACGGGTGGCAAGTTTGCTCGCATTGCTGAATGAGTACGATTGCGCGCGCCTGGTGATTGATCTTGACATGCATCGTGATGTCTTGAAGTCCGCCACTGAGCGCTATTGCATTTGTCGCCAGCCATTTGACGGTCTGATGATTGGGTGCGACCATTGTGATGATTGGTATCATGACAGCTGCATTGGCATGTCTAAGGAAAGGGCAGAAAAGGTAGAACACTACACTTGCCCGTCTTGTACAATTTTGCAAGAGCTTACAGCCCTGTTGCAGCAAGCAAAATTGGCAGGACAGCAAAACAATATCTGGGACATGCAGGAGTACGCGAAAGCCTTCGATAAACATCAAGCCAGCGTTCTGCGCAAGATAAAGCGTGAAGAAAAGACTATTGAGTGCACTGAAATGCAACTCTATAGCTGCACCAACCAAATGAATCAATTACGTGCTCGAATTGATGACATTGAACGTGCAAAAGCGTGCTTGTCGATCACTTCTGCTACCGAAAATGGCGCGAATGGACAGCAGCAACATTTGAATGAGGCGCTAAAATCTAATTTGGGCATACCATCGCCTAAAACATCTAAGACACCCTCCTTAATGGTCGCAACCAGCGTTGCGGGCCCAACCGCGACAGTGGGTACAAATGCGCTTCTTCTGGCTGCTGCTGCGGCGGCAGCAGCATCTACCACTTCTACTGTCGCAACAAGTAGCATTACTATCGCGGCAAGTACAGCAGCTTTGACGTCTACTAGTGCGTTAAGTCATCAACAGTATTCAAGTATTTTGATACCTCCAATATCCTCGGTCAACGGTCTTCTAAAGAGCACACCGACGATGGAGCCAGTCACAAAATCATTACCGACGAACATAGAGGGCAGCGCGCTGATTGCAAACGACGACAAGTCAAGCGACTTGTCCTTAACGACCGCAACGTCAAAAGATTCGTCTTCGGTGACTGATTTAACAAGTTGTAACTCGAATCAAAGTCAAACAGCAACAGCTGCGCCAATTACCTCCACAACCAGCAACAACCGTACTACTGCGCCGACTACGATTACTGAAGCCCACCGGATTCCTTCGCCAGCCATTTATAACCCGATGACTGCAACGTTGATGGAGAGCACGGAACGCTTAGCGGCAATCGTTGTAGCGGGCGGTGTGGAGCAACAATTGGCAAAAATGAAGAGTGAGTACGTCGAGGTCAGCAGACAGGTGCTTGAGCTGCAAACTTTGTTGCGTATCAATCGCGAGCGGTTGGTAAATGCCCAGCAAGCTCTTCGTGACCTGTCCGAAGTGTTCCACGCGAGGCACCGTCTACTGCCTTTTGCTCAAACCTGGGTACGGCAAGTCGTTACGCTGCTGAATGAAACGACAATTTTATCACGCAATAATATCGACGAATCGACGTTTCTTCCGAAAGAGTATACAACGGCGCTCCATGCAATGGCACATCCTCCATCCAGCTCACCAGCGACGCCGGAGACAATGGGTATCGATAAGTTGTTTCCTGGTGTAGATCTATTTGCCCGATTGTTGCGCGCAGTTTCTTGGAGCCAAGTGATGGTATCCGTGTTGCAAGAGCGTCCTTCACGCCGTATTCTAAATGATGCTATAACCTATGCCCTTGAGTACGGACTTTGGGAGGACAAAACGACAATTACTCCGCTTCGCAGCTTGATTGGCCGCATGGATGCTTGGGTGTCTCGTGCACATAAATGCATAACTAGATCCGCGGCTAAGACGCAGCAATTATCGCGATTAAAAGTGCTCATGAACGAATACTCGAAACTCCCGCTAACGTACGTACAGATAGCGGACCCATTAACTGTTTATTTCAAATTATTATTGAGCGGTGGAGTGAAGAAGTCCAAGAGTATCGGAGATGATGAGGTACTTACTCTTGGAGCAGCAGAAGCAACCGCTGCAAAAGCCTTAGACGAAGCAATGATAGGGCTCGTTCCGTCCGGGGCATCCTCCTCAGGAACGAAAATATTAAAGAAACAGGCGCCGCGTAAAAGGAAGACGTATTCTCGGAAGGACAAAGTATCAGTCCGCTCTTCCAAAAAAGTGAGGAAATCACAAAGTGCTCCTGGTGATGCGAACTCTCATCTGTTGACCAGCTCTGCAGCCAGCACAGGGATGACCAAAGCAACTCCAAGCACTCGAACATGATCTCTTACTTCCCTGTATTATAAAAGTGAAAGTGGGCGTTATTTAAATAAATTAAACATGTATGCAGGAGACCGCATTTGAAAGAAAATTGTTTTTAGGTAGTTAACTAGTGATTCAATGAGTATATATTTTCTTACCTGCTAGTCGTTCACTTGATGAGCTAAGTAAAGATATTTTGTGCTATCTTCTATCGAGACATGAAACCAAATAGAAGCTTGTTTATGAAGAAGTCTAAAGGCAGCTAAAATGAATGACAAAAGCATTTTTATGAAGGAAAAGAGACAAACGTTTGAAGTGATAGCTCCGTGGAGTGACAATGAGTCTATGAAAGAGATAGGAGCTAGCAATGTAAACGGTGCACACACTAGTGAAGGTAATACACCAGCGAGGCCACTTCAAATTGTGCGACGTGTGAACGAGGGTATACATAACATTTCTTCAATCGCGCCTGGCGAATTTGACTTTGTTGTTGTTCTCGACTTGCAGCAGATTATGCTAAGAGATTTACGACCGATTATAGGAATGGCCAAAACTCTTCGTGTACTCAATGCATCACAAAATGAGATTGCCACGTTGCCTCAAGTCGACTTTTGGTCACAGTTTCGATGTCTCAGTATGTGTTTTCTATCTCAAAATGCGTTAAGAACGTGGCTAGATGTACAAGGTCTTGAAGGCTGTGCTCATTCGCTACTTTGGCTCACATTGTTCAATAATCCGTTTATGGGGCATGAGAATGCGCGAAGTTTTGTAATGAAAAGGCTACCATTTCTCAAGGCGTTTGATAATTTCGTGACGACAGATCAAGAGGTTGTACACCATGCTGGTGATTCTAAACCTTTGATCAATTACCCCGGCGGTCGCTTTAATGCATTGGAACCGCGACTTTGTATTGCGCATTTACAAATGTCCGTTGAGTTTACTTCTGATGAATCTGCGCTCCAGTATATACGAAATACAGAGGTAACGATAGCAACAATAAACGCCGACAACTCTCCCAGCTTACGCATTCAGAAGCTAGTGCGGGGATATTTATCCAGAAATTCTATTTTTCCACACTTTCGAAATATGCGCAAGCTCATTATAAATGCTCAGAAGCGCATTCGCGGATTTCTTTTGCGTCAGCTAATAAAGCGTCAGATTTGCGAATTGGTGACTGCAATTGGTGATTCAAAGCTTCTTTTTGCGCTCTTTGCTCCGCTTGCACATCGATCGTTTGAAAAACTGGGGCCTATGATACGCAGATGGCGTACCCATATTCAAGACAGGAAAAAAACCGCTGCTTTCGAAAAGATTCGATTGTGGTGCCAAAAAGTCTGTCCACGTCATGTACAACGCACCCGACATTTTCCACGCCATGATCAAGAATTTATATACTACACGCCTGAATTTGAAACCGACCTTCTTGCTCTTGCTATGCGCGTTGCTCGTCGCGACCCTTATCTAAAATCGTTGTCCACAGAAGATCGACTTCGACACCTCAAAGAGCGTTGTGTTCAATCTGGTATTAGTATTATTCGTGGACCAAACAACTTCTCGGGTTTTGAGCGTCTGAATTCAAATTCAAGCGATAGATCTTCGAAATCAGAAGGTTTATTCCACGTGCTATGTAAGGAAGACGAGAAGCATCGAGAGGTCTGCGAGAGAAGCAATGTAAAGTCTACACTTGGTGTCCCCTTGCAAGATTTTGAGCAAAGAATGCCCTTACCGGCACTTATTCGGGGCTTTTGCAGTGATAAAGCCGTCGAGGACAAACTTCTAGTAGTTAAAAAACATTTCTTGCAGAAAGATCTTGAGCGCTTCGCCTCAATTCAAAATCAGCAACTGCAGCTTGATGCTAGCAACAACGTGGACACCGAAACTCAGTCTTTTCCGAATTCGCAATTGCTGCTAGAACATCAATCCTGTGCGGTGTTGCTTCATCTGAATCAAGTTGCGCAAGAAATTCAACAGCGTCTGGTCATTTGCAATCGAAACATATTAACAGCTTGCGTGAAGCAGCAACAACGTCTCAGGAAACTGCGTCATAATGCTCCAAATTTCTTCTTTACCAAGACAAAAATTCGTGTGCGAGGCCATGCGCCCACTTTTTTGGAGCGAAAAAAAATTGTCTTTTTGTCACGTGAACGTTTAAACAGCTACCGAAAGATGAAAGTGTTTATACCATGGACAATCGACATGTATCAGCACATGGTGATGCGTCTTGGTCATGCCATCCGCATGTGTTCGGTGGGTCCAGCGAAGGCCTTTGCATTCTCTTACGAAGAGACAAAGCGTGCAGACGCAGCGTTGTTAATCCAGTCAGTGTGGCGTGCCTTCGCGTGTCGCTCGCCTCAGACAATTTTCAATGTAATGAGCATTCGTGCATGCATATGCATTCAACGGTGGTGGAGATTTCGTCTTGGTCTAAGTCGTCGACTGGATGTACTTCGAGCATGTTTACTGGTTGGGGCTAGCATTAATTCTCGCACCCTGTTCATGGAATCGAATGTTTATCACGCACTTGTGGACTCGTGGCCGGCTGTTCGGGCTGTCGTTAGGCAACATCACTGTCATGAACATCACCTTGGTTACCACATTGTCTCAAAAATATACGCGAAGCTTACTTTAACGCCAGAGCAACTTCTGATCTATAATGCCAGTCGTGAAGAGCGCTCAATCTCACATTATCAACGGCATGACTATCAAGTGTTATCGGAATTTTCTGCCGACGTTGGCTCAACAAAAAGTGAGCAATGGTTGAGCCAGCGCTGTAGTGCTTTCCTGCCAGCGTGGATGCTCGGTGCACCTGAACCAGTGCAGTATACCACAAATTCAAGAATAGAAGACACTGCAGCATTTTTACTCGTAGATGGAGTGCATGTCGAGCCGACAGATATCAAGCGCGAATTAATGCATGGTATCTTAGAGCCATACAACATTGAAGGTTCTGTGCAGATGAATCCGATGTGTAAGTTTTCAACTTGCCAGCATATTGTCAACTCGGCCACTCGAGTGATGAAGTATGCTCGGCAACTTTGTCATGATAAGGTGACATCAAGCTGGCTAATGGAACCATCTCATTCTGTAATCGAAACAACGTCGTTTGTGCGTCTCATATTTCCATCAGCTGATGAAGCCAGGAAGCGAGCTTTACTTTTGTTGTGCAAAACATTTGACCCTATTTCACGGACATATGCGCGGATGTATACGCTTGAAGCTTTTTACGAAAATGCACTTCGCCATCACCAGGTACATGAACACGCTAAACTGATTTTGTGAAAGAGTATACCTGACATGTTTGTGTCAATGATAGTCGACCTTGAGTCAGGTTGCTACTGAAAGAGAGATTGATACCTTTTTAAACGAAGACGTCGTCTGGAAGCAAGATGAATTTGAATTTCCATCTCGATGGTGGGTGCGAATGGAGAAAAAGCTTGGCAAGACACGAATTGAAGCAATGAAAGACCATGGAGCATCTCAATCACTTTCAAAGAAATCCACGCTGACTTCTTGTTTCCATACTCAGCATATATCGTCTAAGGATCTAGAAACTCGGGAATCTGTGCAGCTTCTCGATCCAAAGCCTATGAGATCTTCTCGCATATTATTGAAAACCTCTCAACCGGTAAGTGGACGTGGATCTCCAGTCCCATTACATCTAATCAATCCATCCCTTCCTCAAGATACACTGCTACATCAAACCAATGTATCTAGTCATATAATCAACCCTCAAACACCATCATTCTCTTCATCAACTCTAGGAAGTAGTCGTCATCAAAAACTATTGAATCGGCTTGGCATACTTAAGTATGCTTCTAATCAGGATAAACTTAATCAAGAAAAGCGAGCTCGTGAGCATCTTGTGCGCGACATTCGTGAAGAACGGGAACGGGCACTCGAGGCGTTAATTGTGGATCGTCGAATGATTCAGCGCGAAAAAGTAACCGAGGCAGCTAATCTAAAGCTTGATATTGATGTCAAGCTGCAACGAATTTGCTTTGAGCGTGAACGTGAGAAACTTCAGACACAAAGCACGCAAGAGATACAACGACACAACACACGACGTCGCCGACTAACGCGTAAGTTTGAAAAGAGTTTTGTCGCTCAGACGGGAGCATTGATGAGGCATGCTGCTCGGGCTGCCGTTGCCAGCAGCCTCGAGGCAGACCAACTTGAGCAAGATCATTTGACTTCTACTGTAAAGATTCGAGAAGCTGAAGCGCTGGTTCGCCGCCAAGATGCAAAAAGCTGTTGGTTCGCTCGAAATCGCCAGGAGAAGCGAAAAACGATTGCAGTACGGGATTATTGCTTTTGAAGCCATAGATGTAGAGCGGACAGCAAGTGCTGCGCACGGAGACGATAGAATCGATAATTTACTAAACATGATGTTAAAGTGGCATCATTTGACATGAAGTGTTTTCAAGTTCCCGCACGCGCTATATTGGCTCCTATTAACTTATTCAAACCGCGCGAGTGCGTACTCGACGAGTTATTCCAATCGCAAACACAGCAATTGAAGCTCCGAGTAAAGTCAATCCAATTGCTTGCTGGTAGTCATCGATGAAGTCACTGGCACGAGCAAACCAAGATTGAGTAGGAGTCGCAACAATAGATTCGTCACCATGGTCGATATCCTTTGATAACAAGCTCTTATTTTTTCGCGGAGTCTTGGTCAGTTTTTGGTATCCAAGATCCTCAATTTCACTGCTGCCATCAAGCTTGTTTTTAAGTGCCAACTGTCCGCAAGCTCCATCAATGTCTGTCCCATGATTTTTGCGGATTGTAGCTTTAAGATTGTACATATTGCGCAGCACAGCATGAAAAGCACGAATTTCGCTCGGCGAAGGCGAGTGAAACTGGTCACCGACATCCGTCGTATTGTACGGGATCAGATTCACGTGTACTTTGCGGTCCTGTAGCAGCTTGCCCAGAATGTGTGCAGTCTCAATCGAATCATTTACACCCGCCAGCATACAGTATTCCACCATCACTAACCGTCCTTCCCTGTTAAGGTGAACAAAAAAGTCAAGGTCTGTTTCTGCATTTGCCATGTAAACTCAACATTTCATCACGTACTTCATCGCAAGATGCTCGTCAATAGCCGTCATGAGCTTATCTAAAGGATAGGCTGTAGATGTGGGTACGATTTGACTCCGCATCTCTTGTGTCGGTGCATGCAAGGACAGTGCCAAACGCACGAGTGGTGCGTCATGCGAGAGCTGTCGAATGCGGTGGATCACGCCAACCGTAGACAAGGTGATGTACTTAGGTGCGAGACCAAAGACTTTTGTCATGGCGCGAATAGCGGCCAGGACGGCGTCATAATTATTAAGCGGCTCGCCCATACCCATAAAAACCACGTTACGGATGGGTGCTATACGGTTGGCGTGCGCGAGCTGCTCAAGAATTTCGCCACTGCACAGATCTGCAATGATACCGAGCGTGCCTGTGGCGCAGAATGTGCAGCCCATTTGACAACCTACCTGTGAGCTGACGCAGAGCGTGTTGCGTCCCGTGTGGCGCATTATGACGGCCTCGATCTTATGACCGTCTTGCAATTTTAACAAGAGCTTGATTGTACCGTCATGGGACCGTTGTACATCGGTCACAGACGTTGTGAAGGGCGTAAAGTGCTCTCCCAATAATGCACGAAGAGCCTTGGGAATACCTGGAATGTCAACGAATAACGAGTCCGGGTTTTGCGCTAAAAAGTGCCAGATTGTTAGCGCATGCAACTCTTTGATGTTATGAGTTTTAAGAAATTGAGGTAGCGCGCTTTGGTCGAAGACCGGTAGCGGTGACAGCGTGCGCTTCTTGACCATGGCCAAACAAGTTGCTAGAGTTTGGAGTTTCCAATTTTTACTTTTTGATTGATTCGCAGTTTTTTACGGACGTTTTTAACCCAATAGAAAAAACAAAGTATCAAACACAAATCAACTGTCAAGTCGAGTGGAGAAACGAAAACTGAAAGCCCACTGTACACCTGGACAAGCTAGAAGGGCAAGACTCGGTGGCGTGGGTCGAGTGGTCAATGCTTCTGGGCCTAACGTTGGGTGACAGGTGGTGGTACAAGTAGACCATGAGGACAAATTTCGGGTAAGTTAAACACAAAAGAAGACAATATGTGTATTCAAGATTCACAAGTAGAGACGGTCAGCGTCATGATTGGCACGGCAACTTTATGTGCCTTTGAACTATTTTCAAAAGAAAGGATCTCAGGATGAGCAAAGCTTTTTTAATCAGTGCTATTATCAATCGTGCGTGATACTTTAGGCAATTTTCTGAGTAAATTGAACTTCGCTGTAATAGTGTGACACTCCATAATCACATTAGTCCCAAGACTAACAACAAACACACTTCAGTCTTAACCGTACGGAAACATGTCACTTTCCTTTGATCAAGCTGATAAACCGGGCGAGGCCGTGCCCAACGCCTCGAAGAACTTTTTGGTGAAACCGAAGGTACTAAAACGTCCACCTTATCCAAAGGCTGCTATATATTTTTGTCATTCTGCATCAGTTGAAGCCTCCACAGTTTGAACGCAATGACTCCCTGCTACGACGATTATAGTGAGATATCTAATATTTCAGTCGAGCTGAACGTGCTCCAAAAAAGTCGCTAAGAACTATATCAAGTTGTCATCTTCACTCTTATCGACCTAACCTGTCGAAAGCCGTTCAGCGCGTTGCGGCACAGCATCTATGTATGAGATTGGAGCTATTCAGTGTGCAAACCGTGGACGCAATATTTCGCACCGTAACCCATCAGTCACAACTTCTAAGAAGTAATGCGTAGAGCGGAGTTAGCGGTCAGCTTCCGCGCGAGGACTGTAATTCTGGTACTGCGGCCTGGCGAAAATGCCGAAGAGATAGTGGATTGGTTTGAACATCAAAAACAGAAGACTGTCTGCATATAAGTCGTACTCAGAAAAATGCCATTCAACAGACAGTTCGATTACTGCATGACTTTGCAAATATTAAGCACGACGTCGACATTCATGTGAGTACACGCCCTCGCCTGTAATTCATGTCAAAATTGGCCATGCTCATACGCATGAGCTTGCTGGTACTTCTGCTGGACAAGTCTCGAGTTTAAACACTTGGAAGCGAGTTGCGGCATACGATCTGCCGATCACACACGAAAACGATGGCAGAGTGTATGCTGATTTTACGCATCAATGACGCTAAATCGTTTTGCCGGAATTGGAACTCACAATCCAAGGGATATTGAAGTGATACGAGTTCCTCAAGCTCACTGAATCGAAGCTTTGACACTAGTAAAGTCGTCACGCTTGCCCGTGGAAATTAGTGGCGCAAATGCCACTAGCATAACTAGCGTGTTGGCTTTCATCGTGTGTCTTATCTCTTTAGCCAGAGTAGTCAATCGTCTGTCGATTGGCTTATTGCGATCTCAAATCTGTTTAGAGCTGCACTTTAACCATTTCATGATTTTTTATCTATGTATCTTCTGTACGCATGGTGGTATGAATCAAAAGGGGAATACAGTGTGGTCATGTGATACATATTTAATGAGATCCCAGATATTCTATGTGATACAGAATGCTGGTTACTACTTGGAGATTCGTGCTGGTGACGAGACATACGCGTCTCTGTTTTTTGAAGTGGGTGGCGTAAGTCTGTCACTTTAACTGAAAAATGTTCACGAAAGTTCACGCTCAACCGTCCTATTTCAAGCTCCGTGCACGCACGATCTTGTAAAAGTTGAAGCTGAGGCTCAACCACTGTACATTATATATCTGAAGCCCAAGATTTTATCAGAGGAACGTCTCGGATCCCTTGGTGTAACGGGGTTACACGTACCCTTGTATGGAAGGACCGTAAATAGGTGTAGATTACACAAGCTGGTGTAATCACACAATGCTGTGGCTACACCGTAACAAGAAGCCACTACGTGGGCTCGTTTATGCATGGTCGCTTTCAGCATGAACAGCAGGATTGCCAGTAGTAATGCATATTAACCAGGTTTACTATATTCATCAGGTATTACTATGTTAATTTGAAAAATCTAAGGTCTGAGATATTTGCGGCTCTGCTGCAACTTAACAGTAAAATACACTTTAAATTTTGAGCGAAAGAGTCTCTTTACCTTGGTTAAGGTTTTGAATACTCGTAAAGGCAGCGCCGGTAAACTCGCACTGGTTCTTGTAATAAACGTTTGGTCGATGACCTTAGCTTAGGTTCCTTTAAACAAAGAGCTACGACAGCCCCGCTGCACTTAGTAGCACTTGTCGCCAATCTTCACCTGAGTCGTTACAAATCGTCCCCGAGGATGGAAATATACTCCTATTTGCCCCATGGCATGCAGACGGGCTTGATAAGCTGATATCCCTGCTTGGCCGTGAGGGCGTGGAATGCCTTGTTTCGCAAAACCCGAGCGATAAGGGCGCACCAAGAGGCGTTTCAAATTATAAAAATGATCTGTTAGAGCACTTACAGCAGAATCTGTCAGCGTCGACTGCGTCCATGACGCCACCGTCGACGATGAATGACTCCTCCCGACCCAGGCCGCTCATAATTAAGTTTGCTGACAAAGATTCGAGCTTTCATTTTATATACCCGCAATCTAATACTCTATCAATTAGTTATTAGCATAGTTTATTTTACAGTTTCATTTTTTATTAATAAATCATAAATATTTTTCAATCAAATTAAAAAAGTCGAAGAACATAAAGAAACTCGTTGCATTTCATAACAATTTTCGCTACATATTTTGTCAAGAATAAGGATAAAGAAAATCTTCAGCTTTGAGTATGAGAGGTCTAGATGGCTATAGCATCCGCCATGCTCCTGAGCGAGCAACAGCGCGTGGCGCTAGCTATCTACAAGCTTGAGGGCGAAGCGCGCGAATGGGCAATATCGCGCGGTGCTTCGGTTGAAGTTGCGTTCCTCTCCTAGAAAGAGCTGAAGCTGCAATTTTTTCAATGTTTCGCCGCCTAATCAAGCATATCGCGTGCGATCGCGTTCCTTGCTGCCTGACAGGGCGAGAAAGAACTGGTGTACTTCCTTCAAGCGTTGAGAATTCTCATTGCTGGGGTGGCAGCCGATCTTTTCCCCGAGGCGGGCGCAGCGACCGTCTTTATGGAGGGACTACGCACTGGCTTGGCCAGAATGGAAGTCTTTCGGGTGCATCCATCTTCGATTTTGGATGCAGTGACAGTGGTATGAAAGACCGAGTTCAATTTAAAATAGGCACGACTTGATTGGAATGCACACGATTCATCGAATCTAAAGGAGCCTTCAGATTCGTACTATCTTTTAACTAAGAAATTCTAAGACGTCGTCTCCACCGTCGGTCCTAACTCCGGACCGAGGTGTGCTTATGAGATTGATCTGGTTCCGGGAACCAATTTTGCGTAAAAGGCCAATGATCCCTGCCCAAGGCGCAGTGTGACGTCATTGACGCCTTTTTCCGTGCAAAGCACGACGCAGGAATGGTGCGTAAGAGCAAGTCTCCCCATTCGACACCCACATTTTGTGTCCAGAAGCAACGCTGCCACCATTCCCGTACAGACGCCGATTCCTAGGAAGGATGTTCTCCAGAACAATTTGTACAGCGCATTCGAATTTATTACCAAATGCTCATGAGAGCGAGTGATATTCCGCAAACAGCAGTGAGTAGTCAGAGCGGAATGCTCTGATAGCGACTGGTGATGCCCCAACGGCAGTCTAATCCACCAGCAACATTTAATCGTCTCATGACGCAATTGTTCAGGCCCCACAGGCGTATGCACAGACATCCTTCCACGACATCTCGTCCACAGTCGTACGGGGCACGGGAGGACAGATGAGGAAAACTACATCGTTCATTTAGAAGCGGTACTCGAGTGCATGCGCACAAATGAGCCTTATACTCATACCGATAAGTGCATCTTCGGCGCTGAAGAAATCCCACGTGCTTTCGATATGAGGCGCGCCTGATCAAAAAAGAGTGCTTCATTGGGAAGCGTGGCCTTTGAGCGGATCCCGCTAAGGTCGAGGCCATTGTGGACTGGCCGGTTCCAAAGAGCCAAAAGGACTTGTGCAAGTGGCTTGGCCTCACCGACTACTCGCACAAGTATAGCACAAATTATGTGGAAATGTGCATGGCCATTGTCGGATCTCCTTAAGAAGGATACGGAATGGTCTGGGGACACCGAGCATCGGGAGGTTTTTGACAGGGTCAGATATAGCATCCTTCACGCACCAATACTGGCCACCGTGAAGCAAGATCCGGTGATCGCGTTCGAATCTCGCCAGCTTTAGGCTGCAGAGAAGACTACCCACTTCACGATAACTCAAATTCTGCGATGAAGTATGCACGTGTCAAGTTCAGGGTGCAACTGCTTAGCTCCTAGCCGTTTGTGATCCGCACAGATCATTCGTCATTACGTACTGCGATTCAGTCGCCCCACCTCTCGCAGAGGATGGTCAGGTGGCTCTTATTCTTTGCAGAATATAACTTCGGGGTAAAGTATAAACCAGGAAAGCAGAATGCTTTCGCCGACGCGCTGTCACGCAGGCCGGATTATGAGCTTGCTCATGTCACGACAGTGACGTAGTTAGTGACGGAGTGGATCGCGCCGCATACGCGGGCGACAGTGTGTGTGTAGTGCTGCTACAGGCTTTCGGAAGCAAAGAGTTTGGGAACTCGGACAAAAAATTGTCCGCGCGATTGCGCGGGTTGCTGTAGTATAGCTCCGATTCAACGGATACGCCACGAATTGAAGCTCATCGCGATGGGGATTGGTAATACTGTATCCTCTATGAGACCCACGACACTCCATTTAGTGGTCATGTCAGTCGGTAGACGACGTACAGTTCGGTAAGTTACCACTACTAGTGGCCCAAGCTGTACAAATGGAAGAGCTCATATGTGCGCACGTGTGAGACGTGTCATAGGATGAAACCCTCGCCGAATGGCGGCGCCGCTGGTCAGTTTACCGGTACCCACCGGGTGTTGGCAGTCCATGAGTATGATCTTTGTGTTTGGTCTGCCGAAGGACTCGGCGGGCAACACGGGTGAAGTGGTATTTAGGGATCGTTTGAGCAAGATGGCTCATCTTGCGGCAGTGCCAGATACCATCGACGGTGTGGGTACAGCGACTCTGTTTGTGGATCGTGTCTTTCGACAACATGACCTCTCGAATTTAATAAAGAGACCCATGTTCACTGGGAAGTTTTGGTCTACAATCGTCAGGGTGCTGAGCACCATGTTGGCGTCAGACACCCAACGTGGCGCAGGTTGTCAAGCAGCTGAGTGACGTATGACGCGGCTGTATAATAGTTTGGACGTTAAGCTACGCAACGAAAAGTACACGGCTTATCGAACAGCTGTCTTAAGCTGCGAAATATACACTCGTAAATTGATTGATGCTTGCGGGCCATCTGCAAACCGAGGATCTGACTGAGCGCGTGAATAGCGACTTGAAGCCTATTTTTGCAGCGTCTGCGCTGAGACGCCGAAGCGCTGTAGCGCCATGTCGCCACTCGTTGGGTTTGCTCCGAACAATACAGTGCATACACCTACAAGCTACACGTGCTGAAAGCCAAGACATGCAGAAAGAATATGCCGCTGGAAGAAGCAGAAGGAATGTTTAAGACCTTGAGGTCGGAGACCTGGTTTCATCAAATACTGAAAACCTTCCTACACATGCAGTATCGGCTGTCTTTAAGACAAAACTCCGTTCACGGTTTAGTGGATCTTTTAAGGTCGTGGCCAAGCGAGGTCTTGCGTATACGCTGAACCATCCGAGAAGCATGCGCACCCACCCGGTGTTCTATGTGGATTTGCTTAAGCCGAACCGGGATCCGGCGCTAGTGAACGAGGAAGCATTGGCGCCGGGGCAGCGCTTAAAGGCGCTCGGCCACCCAGAAGCTGAACCAGCAAGTGATTCTGAGCACGAATTGCAACGATCTCTGTTTCCAACAGCGCCAGGCGGTCCACCGTCGCACAAAGTGACGTATTCGTTTGCACCACGGCTAGGAGTCGCTCCGACAGAGCGAGATAGTCCCTAACGTGAGGCACTCGGTGCACAAAGTGCTTCAAGCTCTCGAGGATTTCCGCACAGCGGTATACGACCTCGGCAAGATGCTCGGCAGTGTGCCGATGACGATAGATTTTGTCCTCCAAAGCTCGAAGATCATTGCGAGTCACCGGGAGGCATTCGATCAAGTCGTCATCGTCCGCCGCCGACTCTTCTCGATGAGAATGGTGAGGTTCACTATCATGTGGAACGCCTTGTCTCTCAACGTCGTCGAGAGGGTCTAACCCAATATCCTGTAAAGTGGCGGGGATACCCGAACTCTGAGAACTCGTGGACGTTTGAGGTGCCAACTCGGCAAGACTGCCCAGATGTCGTGGACACTTACGATCGGAGGGATTATAACGCTTTGCGTCGTTCCACGCTTTTCGGCAGTAGTCCGGGAAGCTGGAGGGCCATGAGTTGAGCTCAAGCTACGGCCCTGAGCTGCTGTGGTCGTAGACTCACAGGTGTGAGAATCCACAGAGCTCGCGGAGCATGATGGATCATTCCATGTGTCGCAGGGCGACAATACGCGGGAAGTCGGCGTTGCGCCTTGAGTTTGGCAAACTAAAATCGAAGATGGCGCTCTACGCGCACGCCCACTTCCTGGTGGATTCACTGTATGGTTATGGTAGACACCGAGGTAGTTTCCGATGCCGCTGCAGCCATCGCTCAAAGCATTCATTATCATCTGCAGTGATTTTGCCTGGGGCGAGCACCACAAGAATAGTCCGCATCGCGGGTACAGGAGCGACTTCTTTCAGAGCTCGAAGTCGAGCGCGGTGCCGATCCATTAGGGTTTTTGTGGGACCAAAAGCAAGTTCCGAGAGCTTTCCGCTGATCTAACCTAGCTTGTGTAGTGGCCGGGGACACGCCTAATAATCGAGCGATCGCGTCTTTTGATTCAGTAGCGGGGCCCGCAGAGCGGAAGCCGTATTCCACACGAGCGTTAATGACTGAATGTGGATACAAGCGCATGAGAGCCGCCCAGTGGGTAGTCTAAATGCTGTTTCTGCGCCTCGTCAAGGTAAATGGCAACGATACTATTCCCCCCGGAAGTCGAGAGGTCGGGGAAAGGACACGGTGTTCGCAAGGTTCAAGTCGGGTTCACGTCGCGCCGTCGGTGCGCCTTATCCTCCTCGTCTTATCATGCTGGGAAAGGAATATCAGACTCGTAGTCGACTTTCTCCAAATCCTCAACGTGAAAATCCATCGTCCGGGACAGGCGCAGTGTGTGGCGCTCGGTTGCAGAGGGCTTGGGATGTGCTTCCCGTGAAGTTGCGGGCGTACTGTCCGGAGATGCACTCTGTGCTTAAGAAGAAGGGTTTTACCCGGACCAGCAAGGCTGGGTGTTTTTCGTGTCATAGACACAGGGCTCTTTCAGTGGAGAACGTTCAGGGATGTTCTTACAAACGTAACGGTGTCTCAGGCATCGCATGAGGCGACAATTAATTGTGAAGTGTGATAGTCACAATTTTGATGGGGGAGAGTGTAACTGAATCACACGTACCCTTGTATGGAAGGGTGGGTCGCGCGAGATGGTGTGTGACCGTACATAGATGTGCATTACATAAGTTGGCGTTATCAAACAATAGGGTGGCTACACCGTAAGAAGAAGCCACTACGTGGCAGGATTGCCAGTAAATATAGATTTTAATTAGGTTTTACTTACTTAATTAGGTACTACTTTATTAGTCCGGAAAATTCAAGGCATGAGATATTTGCGGCTCTGCTGCAACTTAAACAATCAAATACGGCTTGAGTTTCTGTACGGAAGAGCGTCTTTACCTTGGTTAAGGTTTTGTGTACTCTTGGAGGCAGCGGATTGCGATCCGGTGCACTCGCACTGACTCTTGTAAAGAACGCAAGGTCGATGACCTTAGCTCAGGTTCCTCGAAGCAAAGAGCTACGGCAGCCCCACTGTACTTGAAGTTTGCATGAAGTTGTGGGAACACTTACCTTATCTTAAGTCGATTTGCAAATTTGCCTGCAAGGAATTAAGTTTTTCTTCTTCCCTACCAGTTGTGACTGTTCTTTTCCTTCCACGTCGAGAATTGTTTTCTTGACGCACAAGCGCGTGATTTTGTCGGGGGGGGGGCTGTTGTGAACAACGCGGTGGCCCAAGCTGTACAAATGGACGAGCACCTATGTGTGCACGTGTGAGATGTGTCAACGGGTGAAACCCTCTCCAAATGCGGCTGCGCCGCTGC